CAAGATTACTTAAAGATCAATTTTTTTTTTCCATAAATGGCATAGAACACCTTATACAAATATCGAGTCAAATGTTCTAATGAATCTCAATTCAATTATTCTGCATGTTATTCATGTTATTTACAGCGTAAACAAGTCGAGTCAAATTCATTTTATCATTTAGTCTGAACTAGAGACCGCGTTGAACTTGAGTAAAAGAAGTCAAGCTATAGCTCATATAAAAAGATCAGACTTAACCAAATGTTGAGCTCAATTTCATTGAGTTTAAACAAAAGATCATAGATCTTAATTAATGTTAATTTGGTTGATTTGAAGAACTCTTGAGTTGGGTCAGCCTCAAGCTCAAACTCATGACTCGATAAACTTAACTCATGAGCTCGTTAAACGAGCTAGGTTCACTTCACCCCTACATGTGAAATTTTTAAAATAAACTTACTAAATAACCCCCAAATACTCTTCCTATTGACCCATTTTTTTCTTTGTAGGATATTAATTAAGCACCACAACTTAAGTAAAGTGCTAGTCCTATAATTTGACTTATTGTATTTATGAGCTGAAGTGGATGTCACCTTCTTGGTTCAACTTTCGAGCAAGTGTAGGGTCTAACTGGCTAGTCCACTTAGAATCCGCATAGAACAAAGATGTGGGACGGCTTTGAGCATGACTTACTAAGCTCCATTCTTGAATCAATCTCTTGACACTTTTTTCAACTTTACTATTTAAAATTTAAATTCTAATTTTGATAGATTCAAGCTACCAAATTTCATATTTTTCATAACTAGCCAAATGTGATAGACAATGTAATTGATAGAAAGGCGAAAAAAATTCAAAAAATATTAAAATAACATGTACTGCCATGCAAGTTAGTCTTGAAATCAAGAAACTAATAAATATAATGCATATAAAGAAATATTGCAGTCCATAATAAGCAACCTTGAAAAAGAGAATTTGAGTAAGTGATCCATTATGCAACAACGCATACCTTTCTAAAGAGGAAGCTTCACGAAGGAAAGAAATTTTAATGTAATTTACTTATATAATAACATATAGACCACCCGAAAACTGATTATTTACAAATCAACCACCCTCTTCCATCTATTTTTCAATTTTTCACTCAAATATCAAAATTCATGAAAAAAATCCAACTTTTATTTCCTTATTTTTACAAAATTCTCAATAGTTTGTTATATTTGAAAGGTTAATAATAATGATCTTTTTTAATACAATATTAAAATTTTGAATATTACAAATATAACTATGAGAATTTACCTAACAATTGTAAATATTTATAAATATGCCAAGAGCGTCTAGAAATCTAATTTACCGAAGAATTAATCAAGCGGTCTTCGCAATTTAATATTAAAGTCATAATGAATTATTTAATTAGTATCCCAACAGAGATTTGAATTTATTAAATAATTGGAACAGAGGATTTGTTTCCAAAAGTATCAAGGGCAGCATTTTTTCAGATGTTGTAGTTAGGGCTATCAAAATGGCTCGTTGTTCGCGAACAGCTCGTCTTCAGCTTTTTAAGAAGCTCGTGTTCGGCTCGTTAATTTCGTTCGATAAGTTAACAAGCCGAACATAAACTAAAATGTGTTCGTTCGTGTTCAGGTCGTTTTGGCTCGAAATACTACTCATCAAGTTTATATATATATTAAGTAGTATTTTAAAAAAATCTAATTGACTACAAGGCTACAAAGACTTATAATCAATTAAAATATTGATTAAGAAAATATAATAAAAATTATTAAATTAGATTCAAATGATGTTCTGTTGTAAATAATAATTTTTAAATCTTGCTCAAATTCTTATTGTCTTATGGCTACATTATTAGGGTTGTTAAAAGGACTCTTTATTCGTGAACAGCTCTACATGTACGAACACTATTTTTGAGCTCAAAATATAAACGAGCCGAACACGGCCCGTTTACACCCCTAGTAGTGCCCTTTCATACATAAATACAAATACAGTTAGAACATAACAAATCACACACTATTTTACCGCCGAATTTCCAGTCATCAGCTGCAACTGTTTCACTGCTTCTGTTTTAACCGCCGTTAGTTAAATTCTCAGACCAATGACCGCAGCCATTATACCGCACTTGACAGTTTCATCTTACAGATCAGCTTCCCCAATGGATCAGCAAAGCTTCTGCTTCAACTGGGAAGATATGGGCGTGGAGCAACCCTTCCTCTTCGATGGCGAGCATTCCGAAGTCGGTGAAGCCCTCTTCGGCTTCCTCGACTACTCCTATCTTCTTCCCTTCGACACCATCTTCCAAAACGACAAGGATTCATTAATGGTCTCCTCATCTTCTGCAACTGGCAAAGAAGGCCAAATTCCTTCTTCATTCCCTCCACCGAACGCATTGACGTGCAACCTCCCCCACTTTTTCAGCAAAAATCCTTCTTTTATCCCTCGGTAGATCGGGGGGGGGGGCCGCCGCAGCTGGTGGCCGAGGGGGTTGCTGTATGTCTGCGCAGAGTGTGGCGGCGAGACAGCGGCGAAAGCGGATCAGTGAGAAGATGCAGGAGCTCGGCCGTCTTATCCCCGGCGGAATGAGGATGAATAGTGCGCCCATGTTGCTGGCTGCCTTCAAATACGTCAAGTTTCTTCAAGCCCAATATGTCATTCTTCGTCTAATGGAATCCTCATATTTATGATTACTATTATAAAATGTTATTTATTATTAATTGAGGCTAATTGGTTAGGAATGCAAGAGTGCAAAAAATGGGGATTTGCATGTTCTGTTAGCTTCTCCGACAATTCAACAGAGGTTGTCTGCGGAGGGGATGTGTGTCGTGCCGAAGGACTTGGTAGATGGATTAGCAACGGGAATTGAATTTCAATCTGAACCGTTGATTTCAAGCTCTACGGATTCATTTAATTCTGAACCGTTCATTTCAGATTCTATGGATTCGTTTCTTCAGTCGTTTTTAAAGGAGGACAGCAAGTGCTTTACAGATATTTAAGAGTTGCTTCATCATTGTAATTAGTTGTGGTCTGTAAGTAATTGTGCTTTATTATTCTAATTGCCAATTCAAATATTTACAGTTCTTTTCTTCATTTTTTTCTTTAATCATTTAAGAAAGAAATATAGTGGTTAATGATGTTTAAGCTTCTTATTTTTTCTTTTAAAAAATAGTATTAGTTATTAATCAATAAGAAAATAAAAAATTAAAACGGTGAATTTTAATAGATGAATCTTATATTTTTTTTTAAAAAAATTAGAATTCCGTATGTGAAATCATTTATTAGTAACTATCATTTTACACTTTAAATTCAGTATTTATGAATTATTATTTTTTAAGGAAAAGAATAAATAAAAAATAAAATAATATTTTAAAGAAATGAAATTTATTAAGGAATACTTATAAGCTATGCTTACAATAAAGAATGAAGAAGGGAATAGAAGTGATATATAAACCCAAATGTATTCTCAAAATGTGAATACTATTCAAATATTTTAAGGGAATATTTACATCCATACCACTCAATCTTTATGTATTTACATATCTAAACCCAAATGTATTCTCAAATTGGCTAGTAGTTAGTCATTGGGCTCGAAAAAGTCATTGGGTTGGTCCGTATGGTCTAGAGATGGCTTAGGATCCCCATAGGACCAGATTCATTCGCTTGTCAAGTCAATCTGGAACCTAGCTAGCTGGTCGACTTAGGATCTGCATAGGACCAAGTTGGGGTTCAACTTGAGCTCATTCCAAGAGATCATCTCCGTGCCTAAGTGAATGAATTTGTCCATGTTGTATAGACAAAGCGGCTCACCAAAGAGGCTAACTTCTGAACAGAATCCGAGCAACCATTTATCAGAGAAATGTGAATACTATTCAAATATTTTAAGGGAAGATTTACATACATACCACTCAATCTTTATGTATTTACATATCTTGCACCTAATCTACTTCAATTTTTAAATATATAACAATTTATTTATTTATGCATAAACAGAATTATTTTATTTCTTAAAAAAAATTAACATAGATTTGGTGGCTAAGACTATAAACTATATACATTAGATGTTTGATAAGTAAACAAACAATATTTGAGTGGTATGTATATAAATGCTCCTATTCTTACTTTAAATATAGAACTTTTTTTTAAAACTCGAAGGTTAAAAGAACTCGGCAGCAATAAAATTAATGAAAAAAAATAGTAGCCAGAAAATAGATCAGTACCTCGATAGACATTTCACCGAACAAATTTGATATGTTAATTAAAGCAAGATAAGAAAAATGAAAAAAATGATTAGAAGTTAATTTTGAAGATCTTCATTGGGAGCTTTATCATGTAATTTTGCAACTAATTTTAATTAATTCTAGTTACCGGTAACGTCCAGTGCAAGTCAGCTGATAGACTCTCTGAGATGAAGTAAAAATATAAGTACTATGCTGGCTGAAGGGTTCCCTGTAGTGAAATAAACTGACGAGAATTTTGCATTCTTCTGTTATGTAACTTGTATTTCTGAAACATTAGAAGATAACTTTGGAGAATTAGACATTATAAAAATTATATTTTTACAAATTTTTCTTTGTGGTGTAAAAATGGAAAAATACTATTCGATTGAAAAATTTTGGATTTACCTGTAAATGAATTTTCACATCATTATTTTTTAGCCCACGAATCATCATTCTTTCTCTAATTTGTTTTGGAGTTGCAGCTGAAAAAATATAATAAGCTACAATTATGTCACATTCCAATTGAATTCAATAAAAAAAAAAGTAAGAATTTAATTTTCTTTTCTTTTCCTGCATAATTCATTAAAATATTAATTTTTACCACTAAGTTCCTGCAATGTAGCCACAAAATGTCGGTGAAGCTCCGGCGACCAACGGCGACGTGTTTTTCTCTTTTTCTGCCAGATTCGATTTTCATCACCGTTCGATATCGTAGGGTCTGTTGGGGCGGAGTTCGTCAGAGAAGAATTCAGCCACGAAGTTTGTACATTATTTTCTTCATTCGTCACCAAAAAATCTTCATTACTATTCATTACTGCTTTGAGATTCTACACACGCATCATTGTCATTCTCCATCTGTGAAAACTCACTTTTAATGCAAATACACAAGATAACAAAGAAATGAAAGAAAAAAAAAGAAATTATTTTTAGTTTTTACATAAAAATACCTCGTCAAAATCGTTTATGATATTGCTATTATGCTCATTATAATTAGTGTTCCAATTTTGATCGTACTCTATCCAATCCATCTCGACCACACTGTGCTCCCATTCCATGTCTTCATGCTCAACTTTTTCTTCACATTCTTGTTTTAGTTGATCAATCACTAGCAAAAATAACAAATTAATTAAAAAGAAGCAAACAAATTTTCATAAAGAGAATTAATAGAGATTGCAGATAAAATTAAAGGAGTAAGGATTTTAGGATTGCACCATCATTGAGGAGAATCATGCATAGAGGAAGCTCTCCTCCGAACGCTTGGATTTTGCGGCGCTCTTCTTCCAGTGGGTTGATCAAACACTTCATCTGTAATTTATTCTTCAAAATGTAGCCCATGGATTCGAGACCGACTCTAACAATTTGCTCTCCCATTTCTCAAAAAAGGTTTAATTTTAAAATTGCAACTTCACAAAGAAACGAAGAACAGAGAATTATCGAAGGATGTTAAAGAATCAGGAAGATTAACTTCAAATTGGAACTTGGGAAGAGGAGAGGAAGCACAGAGAGTTTAAAAATGGATTTTAATGAATAAGAGAGATTAATGTGAAGTGAGGGCGGTAGAGAAGAGTCCTGGTTAAATGGGAGGAGGAATTAGTTTAGTTAGCAACAAATGTGCAACTAAATTCTGAATAGTTCAGTGGATTAGTCCCGAATTATTATAAATTTTTTTTATAATAATTTTAATTAGATATAATTAATTTGATGTTTAGAACTATTGTCCATTGCAGTTTGAATTTATATTATTAATATTATATTGATAAAAAATTATGCATAAGTCCAAGCTTAACGCAAAAGTGCAACATTTCAATTTTATTGATTAAATAAAAAAATATTTATTTATTTACAAATTTTGTGTCATAAATCTATTCATGAAAATATTTATTTCACATTTAAAAAGATAATGATGGTATTAATTTTTATGTTATACTAAAAAAATAAATGATATGCATGTAAACATGAATGCTTAAGTGCTATATAAGTAAATCTATAAACATTATTGTACATAAATGTTGATATTCTTTAGTTCATCATATAGCAATTTTCTTAAGAGAGTTAACCCACAAAAAAGGAGGTAACACACACCTCTAATTTATAGGTAGAGCTCTTTCAAGCTGAGCTATAATTGACTCAAAATCACTGGGCTTGAAATTTGCTGGAATAGATTTCATGTCACTCGAGATCGACTCGTGGCTCGTCATGTTTAATTTCAAGCAGAGTCGACTCGAAATTGAATTGAGCACATTCCATATCAAAATCAAATTGAGTTAGATTCAAATCGAGTTATTTGGATCTATTTCAGCCCGGAATCGGCTTGATCCTACTCAAAAACTGGAACTAAATGACTCAAATTTTGTTATTTGAATCCGTTCCACTGAATTAAGTTCAAAATTGGCTCGTGACTGATTATATTTGATTTTACCTGACATTCAATTTATAAAATTTTTCTAAATAAAAAATACAACGAGCCAATCTCGAGTTAGATTCTAAATGGCTCGAAATTAGCTTGAAAAAAATTCAATCCAAAATTTTTGTTCATAGCTCGGCTTTTTTATTTCTCGATACGAGCCAAAATTCAAATCAATTTTTGAGTGATTAACGATATTCAAGCAATCCATAGAATCAACCACTAATAACTTCAAATCAATGCATAGATTCAACCAAAAACAATGAGGTAGCGATCATGGAGGATATTATGAGAAAAATAATCCAATTATGTTGGTGAGAAATGGTACAAAAAGATCAAAATTAGAGAAAAATAGGAGCAGTTGAAGAGTCTAAATATGTAAACAAAAGAGCCAAACACATGTTTCTATATTTCAACATATATTTTAATTTTCATAAATGCAACTAAACTCAACACTCTTACATGACTTCATAATACATATTTTATGAAAAAAAAATGGAATTATAATGACCAGCTATCACCACATTCATTAGAGCATTGGGTTAAATTAAACACTCTAACTTGCATGGGATTTTTAACTTATGGCCCCTTCTATTTGAACTATTTACATGCTGCCGAAATTTTAGGAATAGTGAATACTATCAAATGCTTGTCTTTTGTGGAAACAAAAAGACTGGTATTATCCTTACTCAGTGCAAAGGCAGTGATATCTTGTCCTTCACTTAGAGCCAAAGTATGGAATACCTGCAAGTAGACATTGTCATTTTCCTGAAAATTTCACAACAAGAAATAGGGAAATATACATGCATACCGCACAATTCTTATGTATTTACATATCCAACCCTCAAAGTTTGATATTTACACTTGTGACACCTTGGTGTCATGAAAAAATGTAAATTTAACTTTTAAAAGGATGGAGATAGTGTCATTTTTGTTGTTATATTAAAGATTCAAGTTGCACGCATGCAAATATAAATTTTTACAAGTTAGATATGTAGATATATAGAAATTGTGGGGTGCATAAGTAAATATCCCAAAGAAATATTAGAACAAAAGCAGAATTTCTTTGGCTGTCGGTACCTTCAAAGAATGGAGATCGAGGAAGCAAATTGATGGGATTGGAATGCTCTGCATATTCGAAGGTGACTTGAAATCTTTGATATTTGACATTTCGGATTCTGGCGATAAATTCGCTTCAACGTTTGCCGCACAAGAAGAGGAACCAATCAAGACGTTCTCCCCGTCAGCTGATAACTCAATGCAGCTGATTTGGCCTGGAAAGGGTGATAAGGTTGTGGTGGCTATGGGGATTCCATTGACAGTAAAAGTAGATAACCTTTTTTCGTGATCATTCCAGGTGAGCACAACACCTTGAGATGAAAGACAGACGACATGAGCAGCGAGAGTATCTAACTTCCGCAAGAACCGGCCTCTTTTCAAGGAATGCAGAAGGATGCCGGTGGAGCTTGAGCTCGAAGCAATGATGCCGATGTCGGAATTGACGGAGCAACAGATAACGTCGTTACGATGTCCTCTTAATACATGTATAGGCCCTTCTATACGGCGTCTTTGGTTTGTTTCCAAAGTGCTGCTAATGGTGCTGACTGTTACAGGATTAGCTTGGGGCTTTGGAGAAGAAGAGAATTCTGAAACTTTTGAAGAGGGCAGACGATGTATTTTCCATAGTATCACGGTTGTATCGCGGGATCCTGTTACTAGGTAACGAGAGTCTGGAGAGAGTGCAAGACAAGTTACAGGTGCAAAATGGCCGGATGCAGTTTCAATGGTTTTTGCTTCATCTGCTGATATTAGCTTGACAGAATTATCTGCATGTCCTCCTAAGTTTTACCAAAAAATCATTAGAATGAACCAAAAGAGGAGGAAAAGGAAAGACCCAATAATGGTTATGCTTGCCTTGCCATGAACTATTTGCATCAAAGATTTTAGAGAAAAAAAAAGGTGGCCACCACACACAAATAGATATCATATATATTTGAAATTCCCAATTCAAAAGGAAAATACACTGGAAAATAGCACTTACCAGTGATAATTTCATTATCATGCGTGATAGAAACGACGGCTGAGCTTTGTATTCCCGATGCAGCAAAAGCCAGAGCACGAGACAAATGCCAATCATCGGACACAAATCCTGCCGAACCCTTAAACATGCGGGCAAGGGCCCCACCACCAGTACTCGCAGCAGCTTTCCCATGATAGAAAAGAAAAGGTTTACCATGGCCATCAGGAGTATTTGGCTGCCATTTGTGCTGCACAACATTTGCTGCAGGTGCAAGCAAATCCACAATTACAACAGAATCAGATGATGCATAAATAGAAGCAGCAGGAACATTGCATCGTTCAGGATGTGGAATTGCATAGGGTCGAATTTCACTTGGATTTCGAAATATAACCTGGACAGAGATGCAATTGTATAAGAAAATGCAGATTAGGAATAAAAGAAGGTTGGAATGGACAGGAAAATTCCAATGGAAAAAAAAATCATTATTTCCTCAAATAAACAACATAGCAGCATGTCAACAGCTAAATAAGAGTAAATGGAAATATATTATCACCACTATTGATACCAGAGTTTAACCCAAATCACGACACAGGACATCACTTTACTAATGACATAAACAATGACTCAAAAGAAAGAAAGACAATGCGTTAAGTCAAAGCATAAAACAAAACATCATAGACAAAGACTCAACAAAAGAAAACACAATAAGCTCGGCGAGGAGGGAGTTTGGACTGGTGGTTGGCACTGGGAAATGCCTAGGAGAGGTCTGCAGCCTGCTGGGAGGGAGGCGGCAGATGGCAGGATGGCAGGGAAGCTGCCGGTGGGGTCTGGAAGGACAGCAATGGGGCTGCGATCTGCAGGACAACGGTTTGGATGAGCAGCAGAAGCTACAATAGCCTAAGGAGGCTCCAGGAACGATTGAAGGTGGTCTGGAAGAACCGTAGGGGGCTGCGGCCTGCGGGAAAGTGGGCTGGATGGGCAGCTAGGGCTGTGACAACATGCAGGGAGGCTTCAAAAATGAACTGTCGCTGATCTAGCGGGCAGCAGAGCAGGTTGGGCGGCTGTTTGGATGGCAGGGAAGTGGCCGGAGGTGCTGGAGGGTGGTTGGAACGTCGGTGGACTGCAGGATAGCTAGCAGTAACAAGAACAGTGAAGATAAACACCACCTCAGACTGGATTACAGCCGGAGCATCTTCCTCGTCGTCGGATACATCCCATAGGGATGAAAATACTCCAATAAAACCGAAATCAGATTTCAAAATCAGGACCCTTACCCTAAACATAAAAACTCTTATTTTTAAAAGTTTTTACTCAATTTTACGAAAGATTAAAATAATAAATAAATAATATCAGATTTCAGAATTTAGAAAAACTTTTAAAATAGAGAAGGAGATAAAATCATATTTCAGAGACAAGGGTTTTAAAATTAGAAGGAGAATAAAATCAGATTTCATATTTTAGGAATATGTTTTTTAAAATAAGAAGAGAGAATAAAATCAGATCTCTTATTTTAGCAAAGGATTTAAATTTAGAAAGTGCTTGGGAAGAAAAGGTGAGGGGGAGAAAAAGGAAATGTGAGAAAAGGAAAGGAAGACATAAAGGAAAGAGGGGAGAGGATGGAGGAAAACCCCAGTGTCATTCTCCCGGGATTAGAGGAGCTCTGATCTCATTTGTCGAAGCTTCTGGATCCTCATGGTAAGGCGGAAAGTCCTCTGGTAGGTCGATCATGTCAGTGTAGTCATTCCATTACACATTCTGGAAGAATAGATAGACATCTTCTTTTGGAACGTCCTGAGCGGGAGCCGCATAAAGAGAGGGGATCCCGTAATGCAACTCTTGAGCCCTTACATTTAAAATTATGTCCCTCCACTTCTTGTGCCTAGCGTGCAATGGTTGAGCAACAAGTATGTAAGGAAAACTCAATTCTAGGATGAAATCTGTGGGAGACTGCGCTACTCTCACTAACAATCCCTTAGGAGAGACCTTCACAGATAAGGCCTGGATCCCAATGCAGAAGTTTCATCCCCGTCAAGCTCCTCGGACCCATTACAAAGTTGGGTTTCATTTCTCCTGTCTAGATATTGGATGAGGGGTACCATGCGAAATAGGGAATAGCCTCTAGATAACTCCATGTGATATTCCCGACATGACACAAAATGACTCCTCTTCGGATATGTTGAACCTCCCCCCATAGGGATAATTCAGGAAGAGATCTAAACATCTGAAAAGGATGTATTTCTTGTAACTGTGATGGCCTTGTATCTGATATCAGCTCCAAGCTTGTGATCCTTCTGGACCGCTAAGGCCAGTCCTAATGTAGCTCCTATCAATGCCTGTGAAACGGTACCTTGAGGTACCATAGTTTTATACTCTGCTTGAACGCTCATTACATCGATATCACTACCTTTCAGAATTGCTACTGTTACCTCAGCTAGACTCGCTATCTCGGGATCCAGAGGAACTGGTGGCGTCTCTTCCTCGTTAGCTGCAAGTGGAAAATCCTCCCGAAAGTCTTCAACTTCTTTCGTATCAATTGTCACTACCCAATTTTTTAACAACACCATGCTCAGTGAAACAGATTTGCCCTTCAATGTTTACAGTGGCTTTATCCAATTTTTTTATGACACCCTGCTCGATGAAGTAGATTGCTCCTCTGGTTGTGCATTCCGCTTTAACATGTCAAAATTCGTGGAAGTTACAACATTTTCTTGCTGAGACAAACTTGCGAATTGGTTTTGTTGGATAATAGTAAGGGGGGTCGCTTGGTGTTACGGTCTCTCCACTTCAGACGCTAGAGTCTGCAACTTTTGGCGGTAATAAGTTGTTAGGAACCGACATTGTGTTTCCCGCTTCATTTTTATATCTTCACGTTCTCTCCTTCAACACTCCCAATCACGGTCGAGGGTAACCTTCCATTCAATTTCATCTTCAATGTCCAATATCCACCACTGAAGTCGGCGGATCTCTTGCCTTATTTCCTCCCGAGTAAGCTCGAGCATAGTTATATTTGGCGACATCTTTGATGGATTGAGATTTGTAGAAGGAAAGAGAAGGACCAAACAAAGAAGAGAAAAATGTGAAAAGAAAAAAAGAGAATAATATGTTAAAAGAAAAGAAGAGGAAAATTTGGTGTGGTGGATTGGGTAGGGGAGGATGCTAGAAACCCAGGATGGGACTAGGTTGGGCTAACTCAGATACCAGATGACATCGAAGGAGGAAACCCAAACCATATATACACCTTTTATTAATATGGAAATATGGTTACAACACACACAAACTGGAAATAACATCACCAAAATCCAGAAAGACACAAACAGACACCTCGAGAGTGTATCCCAAGAGCAGTGAAGGTTGGTTGGAAAGTGGGATAGCAAGCCGGGAAGGTGGGACAACTGTTGAGAGTAGCAATATAACAATTGGGACGACAGGGAAGTAGAGGACAGTCTGATGGCCTTAGAAGGGCGTTGAACAACGGTCTACAGGGGTGCGGGGAGGAGTTGGAGGTGATTTGGCGGGCTGAGAAGAAACCGGTGGTTGTTGGGCAGAGGACAGGAGTGGCGGAGGCCTGCTGTAGGGTTGGGAGGTGGGCTGGTAGCAGCAAGAAAGTAGAGGAAAGCGGCCCGCTAGATGCAGGAGGGCGCTGGACAGCGACCTGCAGGGGTGCAGGGAGGACGAAAGGACAGATAAATATTTCAACAGGGTCGAAATTCAGCCGATGCACCACTTAAACTCTTGGAGACGATCACCACTTCAGACTAGAGACATTCGGAGCACTTCCTCGATGTCGGATATAGCCCTCAAAGAGAACATATCAAAATTAAAACCTGAATTCAGAAATCAAAACATGATGCTCAACTCTAAGCATATCCCATACCTATAGAGAGACTTGAGTTATTTTAGGTGATGAAAATAAGGAAGGGGAACAAAATATAATCATGCTTTCAGATTTTAGGAAAGGGTTTAAAATAGGAAATGATTTAAAATAAAAAGAGAGAATAAAATATAATCATGATTTCAAATTTTAGGAAAGTCTTAAAATAAGAAAAGATTTAAAATAAGAAAGGATTTTAAAATAAAAAGGGAGAATAAAAATCAGAAGATTTCAGTTTTAGAGAAAATGTTTTAAAATAGGAAAGTGCTAGGAAGTAAAATAAGAAAGGAAGGAGAAAGGAAAGGAGGAAAAAGCGAAAGGAGGGAGAAAAGAAATGAGGGAAGAGGATGGAGAAAAACTCCTGTGTCAATTATCATCCACATTCTCATCACAAAATAGTTTAGTTCAACTTAGAAAGTCAAAAGCCTTAAATTCCTATTCAAGCTGCATTTGGCATTCGTTTTAATTTGGTTAAGTCTTTTCTAACATACGTACTATCCCTAGAACTTTCTAACTTCTAAGAATGGCTATGGTTCCCATTGAAACTTCATTTCTAAAGCATTGCACATGCCCAAATAAAAAATATACTTTGAATATCACCACATCTTTCCTCTTATTCATTTCAAACTTATACCTAGTAATTCTGTTACAATTCGCGTTCACACTCTTATTTCTAGCGAAGTCAGCATGCTTGCATGTAGCTTATTCATAAATAAACGTCCGTATACATATTAAATAGCTATCATTCATGAACACTATACACTATGGTGGACCTTGTTTGAGCATTCAGTTCTCTTCCCACTATTTCTACATCTATATTCCTATCTTCGGGTATAAAATATAAACCACGTGCTAACTATCACAATGCTCAATCAATATTGATTTGTTGTATTCATAACTATGCAACATAAAAACCTCCCCCCAATAAGTATTACTTCACTAATTTTAAGCTCCTTGTTGCGAATTGAAGCCAGGAGCACCGAGGAGCGCCAAGGAAAGCGGAAGAGGCGGTATACCTACACCATACAGGCATAGCTATGCCAGCCAGGACATTCGCCGGTAGCATAACTATGCCAAAACCACTGTAGCTACATCGGTTTGTTTCACATTCTAGGTGCTAAACGAAGCGTGCCGAATAATTAGGTCGTGGAGGAGCGATTATGCCGAGACAGTTTCTCTATTACGAACTTAAATCCCTCAATCCAAAGCAGTGAATATACTCTCTCATGCAGTATTTTCTCGATGGGATTTTCGTGGGGAGCTGAAAAGAGTAGAGGAGGATTTTGGCGATTTCCCTTGTGTGATCGAGAGAGGAGCGTCCGGAATTGTGTAATTTCAGTGGTGTATAAAGAAAATTTTGAGTGGTGTAATCTGTACTTTCTTCATTTCATAATAGATTTTAGGTGTGGTGTGGCTCCATGATTTTTTTTCCCGTTCTCAGATTTTTTCCACGTTAAATCTGTGTATTTTTTCTCTGGATTTCTTTATTATGTGTTTTTATTCAATTTATTATTCTGTATCTCTCGAATAGGTGATATTTTTTTATGATGTGATTTTGGTTGTTAATCGATCAAAACTCAAATTTCCATCCCAACGCTCCTTGCGGTGTAGTTCCTCTATTTTCACATTCAATAAAATTTCCACCTCATCAATGAAGCCCTTCATTAGAGTAAAACGCATTGTGATAAATTGAGTTTTATAGTCAAATGAAAAAGAAAAAAAATTGAATAATTGAAGTACAGAAAATAAAGATCGAAACATATGAATGTGAGTTCTTTTCAAGACTCATATTTAAGCAACAAATGATGCAAGCAAGGGGAGAACAACTGAAAACAAAATTGAACAAGCATTTTTCATACATAAATAGCATGAGGTTAGAAAACAAAGCACAAAGCCGGAAAAAAAAACTATTTAATCATAATAAAATGAAATTTCATTTCAATTTCAAATTGAGAAACTTATAGATGATGAAATTAAGTAGATAAATAAACATGGCCAGATGCTTTAAACAATATGCATCATGGCTTCAATTCATACAGAAGCTTCAGAAAACACGACTTCAACATATCAATTATTGTCAAAGCGAATTGCAGCAGCCACGATATAAGGTCAGTATAATAAAGTCATTTTGCAATTGATAAAATGAAATGATTTATATACCTGCAACTTTAGGATTTCAGCTAACGGTTTCCTCTTTAAATGAGGGCCAGCAAATAACTGTGATGGCATTTGTCCAAAATTTGCTATCTGCTTTCGAGTATCAAGGCGAAGCACCTTCATGCAACATTAAGAGAATGAGACACGTGGCATCATATTAAAATTTGAATAAATAACAACATGATTATGTTACCGGATCTATTATTTTATCAATGTCAATTATCCCTTCATAGGAAGTGCCGAAAAAGACATTGTTAGCTGATGCAGCTTCCTTACCAAATTGCTTATACCTGAAACAAAAAAATAAAAATAGTAAAACGTAAGGGGGGTAAAATAATTAATTCAAGTGAATATCAAAGTATATGAAATAACTACACACTCAATTCCTTGCTCAGAATACTCCCATGAGCACTTTTTTAAACTAATTTCCAAGAAGCTAAGATATTCAATGACCACTACCTAGGATTTTAAGGGAGGAAGATGAAGCTGTCAAATGAGCATCTTGAAGAAAAAAATAAAAGATTAAAGATAAAGCCATATGAATTTTGAGGTAGAGATTATTTCACTAAAATCCTTGGAGTGCTTAATCCAGGATTTTGCCAATTCATTTTACACTTTACTAGAATTTTAATAGTTGCCAACTTATTTTTATTTAAAAAATATTAATAAGTAGATTGGAAACCTCTTTAAAGTTAGCAATTGAAACCACAAGTACAAGACCGAAGTTTGTTAGATCCTTATATTATAAACCTGTATGTGTATGCTGATATTCATTTTTTTTCTATTGAGCATGTTAATAGTTCACTTATTGTATCAAGTTAGTCTACTAAGTTGCATAGGTTTAACTGAATAAGATCTTAGCAAGTTTTTATCATGATTACATATTCATGTAACTAGATGTTACTTTCATTTATTTCCATGTTTATGCCTATTTTTAGTGCACTGATTCCTTATAAATGAAGTATTTGTAGTTTGACATTTTAGACATTCAAATAAGCAAGTTGAAGCAGATTGTTGACAACAAAATTATAATAATGCTATGCATATTTTAAAAACCTTTATGATATCGTGCTAGAAGAAAAGTAAATATAGGTTCATTCTAAATGAGTTAAGTTACATAATGACCCACGCAGGAAGAGGTAAGAGTACTGAAAGGTTGGGTCTCTATTTAGGTGCCAAAAGTTATTCTTAATATTCAATAATTAAAAATTAGAGTGATCAAAGTGCTATCGAGGAGTTATTTAATAACTGATACACAAAAATAATATACTATTTTAAGTACCATTTTTATGCATATTTTTTGTAATATTGCACTTTAAAGAAATATATTTTTGTGTTTTTGTTGCATGTATACCATTTTTAGGCATTTTGAGAAAAAATGGCAAAACGAGCAAAATTTGAAGCAAAAACAGTCAATTTTGGGGTTTGACGCATGATGCATCAGGTGCAACTTTTTAAAATTAAGGCGGTTCGAGACAAATTTTGTGCGAATTTTCAAAGGGACACTTGTTCTAAACACCCCATGGAATGATTCAATACATCTAGACACTTTGGAATGTTCTAATTTGAAGGGATTTGACTCTTGGATCAAAGAGAGACATCTTTTGAATTCAAAGGTTTGACTTTTGAATTTTGGAGGGAAATTGAAACTCTTTTCAGAGGCAGCCGCCCAAAATAAAATAGAGTTGGAGAAGAACTTCTAAGAGGGGGGCGAAAAAAGGAAAAGGCGAAAAAAGAGAGGTGGCGTGAGAACCAAGAGGGAGAGATAGAGAGAGAAAGAAAAGGGTTTGGAGATTGTCTTTTAGAGTTGTAAGAGAAGAGTGAATGTGAGAGATTTCTTCTTCATTACACTTCTAAGAGTGAATTGAGAGTGCTCGAAAAGAAAGAAAGACTTGGAGAGAACTTCTAGGGATTTGCTTGGGAAGGATTGTGAGATAAATTGTATTTTTCATTTCTTTTGTTTGTTAACTTGTTGTTATATATGAAGTCCGTGTTTTATCGCATCCTTCTCATGAAATCTGAGTAGTCTTCTTTATCTTTCTCCCTACTTTGAAGAAATGGTTTCTCCGAAATGGTTTTGTATGGTTTTGTGAAGAATTGATTTTGTTTTCTAACGTTTTAAATGTCAATAATTTGTGATGATTTGAACTCCGATCTTCATTTTATTTTCGATCTGGCCAATTAAATTGTTAAAATGTGTTGAGAAACATATGTCCAAAAAAGAGGATATGATTTCTACAGCAATGAGAGAATCACATTTGATTTCATGGGAGAGTATATCATCCATGAGAATAGGTGCAAATAAATAAGGAAATATACTTCATTGGATGTAGAATTGGAAATTTTGGAAATTTTAAGGTGACAGATTAGAATTCCCAATTTGGTTCAGTTGATTGAAAACTAATGCGGGCATGTTAGCCCCAGGTGAGAGAGTAGTGAGAGCTCTGGAGTGACAGTCGGTATCCTCCAGCCTAATCATGGAATTAGGGACCAAACTCTGGATTAGTCAATGTTCTTTATAGCGCTCAGAAGAGAGTAGAAGATAGGATTACTCCTATTTGACACAAAACAGTTTTTAAATATATTTTTCAAATGATTTCAATTTCTTCACAAGCCATATTTTTATTGTAAAGGGGAATGGTGTTTTCTCATACTTGAATTTTTCGTCAACAAAAACCTTTGTTTTATTTCAACAATTTTACTTTTGAAAATTTAGCATCTAGTTTAACTTAACTGTTGTAGTCGTACATCTGCATATTTAATAGTATTTCACTTGAGTAGTTTAACTTCAAACTTCGTATTTTACTTTGTTTTTATTTTTATTTTAATTTAAGAAAAAATATAAATAGTCAGCTTATATATATTTCCAGCTACCCTGTGAGATCGATATCTAGGACTCCATTAGAGTCATGTATTACTTAAATGATATGTATACTTGCATTATATGTAAAAATGGAATTGAGAGTTTAAAATATGTTTTAAAGATAAAATATTTTCATTAAAGTTACATTATTGTTTGTGTTATATTGCATATTTATTATTAATTTAATCTCAAGTTTCCGCGTATCTAGTTTTTGATGCCGTTGGTGGAGAAGTAACAGAAAATATTAGTTATTTTATTTTAATTTAAAATATAAAAAAAGAGTATTTGTAGTTTAGTTTGAACATTTTCTTATTTAAGTGTGTTGCGTATTTTTAATTACTTGTTTTATTTTGTTTATGCGTAGTATAAAATCTGAAAACTTAGTATCTTACGATTCTGAATTAGAAAAAACTGTTCGAAAAAATCGAAAATAACAAAAAGAGAAAAAATCATTCTAGCAAAATGACTTACAACTCAAGTAATGCTGAAAATGAAAATGAACATCATCAAAGACCTTTAAGGAATTATGATAATCCTACAGTAGATGAAATTCATTTAAGTATACAAAACCTTGTTGTAGCTGCCAATTCCTTTGAGCTTAAATCTGTTATTATCAAAATGGTAGAAAACAATCAGTTTGCGGGAACACCAACTGAAGATCCCAATTTACACCTTGCTAGTTTTCTAGAATTGTGTGTTACATTTAAATATAATATAAGTGTCGAATGATACTGTCAGACTTCAACTTTTTACTTTTTCACTGAGGAATAAAGCAAAAATGTGGTTAAACTCGTTAGTACCTGGATCTATCAGACATAGAGAGATTTATCACAAAAATTTTTATCTAAATATTTCACACCTTCAAAAACTGCTAAGCTTAGAAATGATATTATATCTTTTTGTCAGTTTGAAGGGGAATCAATTTATGAAGCATGGGAAAGATTTAAAGATCTCATTATGAAGTGTCCACACCATGCGTTGCCAGATTGGTTAATAATTCAAAATTTTTTTAATGGATTGGTTGGATCTCTTAGATCGATAATTGACGCTGCTGCAGGTAGATCATTAATGTCAAAACCATTCGATGAAGCATATTCATTAATATAAGAGATGACTACTAATAATTTTTAATGGCCCTCAAAAAGAATAAATCTAAAAAGAGTAGCTAGTATTCATGATTCTGATGCAATATCTATATTAACTACTCAAATAACCGCTATATCGAAGAAGATAGATCAATATGGAATGAATTATTCTTAAACAACATGTGCTTGAGGAAAACTCATTTGGACAAATGATAGAATCTCAATATTCTTATGAGACTTTAAATGCAATAAGCAATCGTTCTAATAATTCTTATGTCAATTATTATAATTGTGGTCGGAAGAATCATCCAAACTTTAGTTGGAGTAACAATAACTCGAATGCTGCAAATCCACAATGGGGAAACAATGTTGCGAACCCAGTGGGAAGCTCCAACAATCAAGGAAATCAAGCTTATAAACCATATTACCCCTGAGGATTTAATAATTTGCAAAGGAGAAAAGTTATCAGTAGAAGAATTGATATTGCAAATGGGAAGTCAATTACAGAGTCAAGGAGCTGCAATTAGAAACATGGAATATCAATTGGGATGTATTGCTCCTACACTTAGCAATATACCTCCAGGAACATACATAGTAATGTTGAAATAAATCCTAAAGATCAGAACAAGGAGCAAATTAAAGCTATTCAACTAAGAAGTGGAAAAAATTAGAAGAAAGAGTTCAGCGAAAAGTTGAAATTGAAAAAGATGGGGTGAAAAATGAAAATTATGGTAAAAATTTTCATTGAGAGTAAAAAAGTCCTATTAAACCAATGAAAATCACTGTAGAAAAACCACCACCTCCATTTCCTCAAAGATTAAAGCAGAAGTATAGAGATAATCAATTTTCGAATTTTTTAGAAATTTTGAGGAAATTGACGATAGACATTTCATTTGTTGAAGTTTTGGAACAAATATCAAACAATGTGAAGTTCATAAAGGATATACTTAATAAGAAAAAAAAGTTTGTAGATAATGAGACTGTCGCACTCAGTGAAGAATGTAGCGCTATAATTCAGAAGAAGCTTCCTGAAAAACTTAAAGATCCACTTGACTGTCTTCCCTTAGCTATCAAAGGCCGCCTGACCTACCGCTCCTGGTTTTCACCACCTTCACTCGCAGCCCACTGTCGATCCTCGCCCTAGGGGGTATTTTGTGTTTTTGTCGTTGTTTTCTTATTTCAGGTGTCTTGGCTTGTAATCCCTTTTGAATTTCAACAATAATATTTGCATTTCTATTATGGTTTGGGTTAACTCCGGTATCATCTTATAAAAAATTTAAACACAAATATTTAGATTGCCACAAGATTCACTTTGAACTAACAAATCATCCTTATAGATCCC